ATTTTATTAAATTTAAAAAGAACTCTGTGTGTAATTGCTATTGTATTTTTTCAATTTTCTAATAAGATGGTACATATCTGAATTAGAATTGTGAATAAAATGTTTGTGTTTTTTGTCCATTTTTTTTTCTTTGGATATTTTCATGTATCATATATTTGTAATGCTTTCTAAATAAAAGTTATTTTTATTTTATAAAAAATAAAAAATTGACTAGGCACCAAAAAAAAGACATGCAATGATAAAAGTCACAGAAAAACAAAAATTATGAAAGCCAAACGTATATATTTATATTTAAACTTTCACTGTAAATCATAAAAATATATATATATATATATATATAATGTCATCCACAGACAGACTGTTTCGCTGTTTACAGCTCATCAGTGCGGCTAGACATCCGTTTGCCTCTAGCTAGGATCGAAACCCGACTGAATTGGTGTCAGTCGGAGCTTCTAACCACTAAGCCGTCAGCGCACGGTAGGAATGGAGGTAGATTTTTAGCGCATTTACTTTTGTAAACATGCCCAGTGACTGACAGTGACTCAATTCGCTTACGCGAAGAGTCTCGCTATATTAGCTATAATAGTCACTGTTTACAAACCCACACCCTACTCCCAGAGTGCTCAACTGAAATCAAATTCAGGAGCTAATATAATGTATATTATAATTTTTTCATATAGATGAAAGCAGTTTACACACTACAAAGATACAACTTCGTTTCGATGCATTTCAATTGCACCTCGACTGGTGCGAACCAAAATTGGTAACCAATTTTGGCTCTCACCAATTCAAATGCACCGAAATGAAGTCGCATCTTTGTAGTGAGTAAACTGTTTTTTTCTATATTAAAAAATTATAATAAATAATTATTGCTCTACTATCAGTATCGAGCCCTCTTTTGGATTAATGATGTAAATGGTAGAATTTATATATTATTTTCATTCTTGCATTGCATTGGATATATATATATATATATATATATATATATATATAAAATATATATATATATATATATATATATATATATATATATATAATAATAATATATAAAGCAAACCAGCAACCCACACTCAACAAAATTACATTTCAAAACAGTCACAACATATTACAATGCATTTAAACACATGGGTCTGTTGATAACATTTCTTTTTCTCAAATGGTCATGTGTGACGTCATAGAACTGCATTATGAATTTACAACCTACGCCTGCTATACGGTCACTGTTATCGTCACAGAGCAATCTTCTATATAAACATAAGTGGAAGTCAAGGAACAGCATAATAAAAATCATTCAAATGTTGGACAGTTTTTGTTTTTATTTTCTCCCGAAACTAAAGCCACTATATGAAACTTAGAACAGCTCATAATAAAACATAATAGACATTCATTGTCTGTTATATTTAACAATATATGTTTGAATATATATATATACATACATACATAGATATATATATATATATATGTTGAGAATGGAGTTTGATAGATTTCTGCGTGTGTTTGAATGGATCCTAATTGTTCTATGGTCAGAGAGATGTAATGTGAGTCTTCTTGATAAGCATATAGTTGTATATACAATATAATTACTCATGAATTTAGTTTGATCAGTAACACAGTTCCTTAAGGGGCATGTGAATTCATAAATTATATTGATTCTCTGTAAGTTAGATCTTGCTGGTGATATATAGTGTGCTTCACATAATTAGCCACTGTCTCTTATGTAAATAAATAAATACCTACTGTATAATAAAGATATATTTACATCATGATGAAAACATTTATCTGTGAATTTAGAATAAGCTGACTTACGTGATAACTAGAATGAAAATCAGTTCATTCTATACAGGTGTAAGCAAACTGCAACCATTTATATAAAATGTCTTGATTTTGAATGTTTCAAATTAATAATCCCATTCCAAGATCTTTAAATTAGGCTCTATGAGGTTGATTTGATGGATAAAGAGAATTTTTTAATAATTTCAAAATTGCAAAAGGTAATACAATACTGGTAATTGCAAGAAATGATTGATATCTACCATTAAATAATGAAAACATGCATTAAAGATCCTGGATAACTAAGATTTAATTCTAGTAAGGGAAAGTCAAGGAGTTTATCTCACCAAATCTTTTTTGTATATCAAGAGAGAAGCTAATCTTTATTAATTCTAGTAAGGGAAAGTCAAGGAGTTTATCTCACCAAATCTTTTTTGTATATCAAGAGAGAAGCTAATCTTTATTAATTCTAGTAAGGGAAAGTCAAGGAGTTTATCTCACCAAATCTTTTTTGTATATCAAGAGAAAGCTAATCTTTATTAATTCTAGTAAGGGAAAGTCAAGGAGTTTATCTCACCAAATCTTTTTTTGTATATCAAGAGAGAAGCTAATCTTTATTAATTCTAGTAAGGGAAAAGTCAAGGAGTTTATCTCACCAAATCTTTTTTTGTATATCAAGAGAGAAGTTTTATTAATTCTAGTAAAAAGTCTTTTCTCACCAAATCTTTTTGTATATCAAGAGAGAAGCTAATCTTTATTAATTCTAGTAAGGGAAAGTCAAGGAGTTTATCTCACCAAATCTTTTTTTGTATATCAAGTAATATTAATTCTAGTAAGGGAAAGAAGGAGTTTATCTCATCTTTTTTGTATATCAAGAGAGAAGCTTCTTTATTAATTCTAGTAAGGAAAGTCAAGGAGTTTATCTCACCAAATCTTTTTGTATATCAAGAGAAAGCTAATCTTTATTAATTCTAGTAAGGGAAAGTCAAGGAGTTTATCTCACCAAATCTTTTTTTTGTATATCAAGAGAGAAGCTAATCTTTATTAATTCTAGTAAGGGAAAGTCAAGGAGTTTATCTCACCAAATCTTTTTTGTATATCAAGAGAGAAGCTAATCTTTATTAATTCTAGTAAGGGAAAGTCAAGGAGTTTATCTCACCAAATCTTTTTGTATATCAAGAGAGAAGCTAATCTTTATTAATTCTAGTAAGGGAAAGTCAAGGAGTTTATCTCACCAAATCTTTTTTTGTATATCAAGAGAGAAGCTAATCTTTATTAATTCTAGTAAGGAAAGTCAAGGAGTTTATCTCACCAAATCTTTTTTGTATATCAAGAGAGAAGCTAATCTTTATTAATTCTAGTAAGGGAAAGTCAAGGAGTTTATCTCACCAAATCTTTTTTGTATATCAAGAGAGAAGCTAATCTTTATTAATTCTAGTAAGGGAAAGTCAAGGAGTTTATCTCACCAAATCTTTTTTGTATATCAAGAGAGAAGCTAATCTTTATTAATTCTAGTAAGGGAAAGTCAAGGAGTTTATCTCACCAAATCTTTTTTGTATATCAAGAGAGAAGCTAATCTTTATTAATTCTAGTAAGGGAAAGTCAAGGAGTTTATCTCACCAAATCTTTTTGTATATCAAGAGAAGCTAATCTTTATTAATTCTAGTAAGGAAAAGTCAAGGAGTTTATCTCACCAAATCTTTTTTGTATATCAAGAGAGAAGCTAATCTTTATTAATTCTAGTAAGGGAAAGTCAAGGAGTTTATCTCACCAAATTTTTTTGTATATCAAGAGAGAAGCTAATTTTATTAATTCTAGTAAGGGAAAGTCAAGGAGTTTATCTCACCAAATCTTTTTTGTATATCAAGAGAGAAGCTAATCTTTATTAATTCTAGTAAGGGAAAGTCAAGGAGTTTATCTCACCAAATCTTTTTTTTTGTATATCAAGAGAGAAGCTAATCTTTATTAATTCTAGTAAGGGAAAGTCAAGGAGTTTATCTCACCAAATCTTTTTTGTATATCAAGAGAGAAGCTAATCTTTATTAATTCTAGTAAGGAAAGTCAAGGAGTTTATCTCACCAAATCTTTTTGTATATCAAGAGAGAAGCTAATCTTTATTAATTCTAGTAAGGGAAAGTCAAGGAGTTTATCTCACCAAATCTTTTTTTGTATATCAAGAGAGAAGCTAATCTTTATTAATTCTAGTAAGGAAAGTCAAGGAGTTTATCTCACCAAATCTTTTTTGTATATCAAGAGAGAAGCTAATCTTTATTAATTCTAGTAAGGGAAAGTCAAGGAGTTTATCTCACCAATCTTTTTTGTATATCAAGAGAGAAGCTAATCTTTATTAATTCTAGTAAGGGAAAGTCAAGGAGTTTATCTCACCAAATCTTTTTTGTATATCAAGAGAGAAGCTAATCTTTATTAATCAATCAATGACATTTTTAAGCCTTGTGACACAGAGGGAATAAAAAAACTAAAATATTAAGTCCTAAATCAATTGTTGAAACAAAAAAGACAGGTGACTCGACCATCTTTAGAAGACATCTATAGAGAGAATCAAATAAAATGGCAATGAAATATATGAAGACTGATTTTTCAGTCATTCTTTTAACTGATAAATAACATGCTAGAGTCAATGGGATATACCGATTGAGCAAATGCTGGGTGACTACTGACAGAAACCACCATTGCAGATGGATATGAGGTAGCGGTAGTTCTGGAGTAATTTCCTGATGATGTTAAGAATACAGCTCGTATATTGACTTTTTGAAGGCACACATGGAGCCATGGTTCAAGGAGAAATCAAACACTCAGAAAGAGGATTTGACTATGCTGAATCAGATCTGTTAAAAAGAAAAATAGTGTTAAGGGAAAATATCCATTTCAATAATATTCATTTGATGAAATATCTGGCTTCCATATTTGATCTCAAACTAATTGAAACCTTGTAGCATGCTCTGAAAAGAAATTTACATTACTTGACAATCTAACAGCAAACATGAACTTTGAAATGCTATTCTAGATGGTGTTCATCCTGTGACAATAATCTTGAAAAATTTAAATGCAAATTCAATCACCATCTTCTGCCTGCTTGGACCCATTTTTCTTTTCGTCATTTACTCAGTCCTCTCCATTTTCAATCTTCTCATTTTCCTTTTCTTTCTCTTTCACTCCATGTAACACCCTGCATTCTTCCCAAATCTTGAAATGACCAAATATCAGAATTTTTATGAAAAAGTAATAGAAATAATGTGTTGTCGGGTGAGGATGAGGGGGTAGCATGTATATTTCATGTACACAAAAACCATATTTCTTTGTGCATAGATAGATAGATAGATAGATAGATAGATAGATAGATAGATAAGAACAGACTCAGATAGATAGACAGACACATAGATAAAAGAGAGAGAAACAGTCTCAGATAGAAACAGTCTAAGACAGATAGATAAATAGATAGATAGACAGAAACAGTCTCAGATAGAGAGATACAGAGAGAGAGAGAGAGAGAGAGAGAGAGAGAGAGAGAGAGAGATGAACAGACTAATATAGATATATGCAAACAAGGATAGATAGATATGAACAGTAGATATGAACAGATAGATGTGAACAGATAGATAGATAGATAGATAGATAGATAGATAGATAGATATGAACAGATTCAGATAGATAGATAGATAGATAGATAGATAGATATGAACAGATTCAGATAGATAGATAGACATGAACAGATTGATAATAACAGACAGCCATATAGATAGATAGATAGATAGATAGATAGATAGATAAAAAGATAGAAACAGACTGCCATATAGAGAGATAGATACATAGATAGATAGATATGAATAGACAGATAGTCAGATAGATAGATTAGATAGATAATACACAGCATTGAATAGATTTATTGCTGCTGAAACAACTTTCTTCATATATTACTTATATCTGTTTACATACGACATGAAGGGAAATTTATGAAAGACATTCATGGCAATTCTTACAGATGCATTTACAAATTAAATCTCCTCCCTCAAAAACTATTTGAAGAAGACACTGAGAAATTTGTGGATATAAATATATCTCTACAAAGACATAAAGACACATGTTAAGTATAAATACATGAGTCTGTATACACATATGCATAAACATATATGTGTACGCTTATTGTATATGGATTTCTCCTCCCAGATAAAGAAAAGACTTGAGTCAACAGAAATGTGGTTCTACAGAAGAATTCTGAGAGTACCATGGACTGAACAAGTAAGCAACAACATGAAAAATGGAAACAAAAAGACACTTATGCTTCAAATTATGTATATTATTTACATTATTCGGACTATTGTCCTCATCTTTGTCGCCATATTTATTACAATGTTTCGGCCGTTGTATGCTCCGGCCTACTTCAGGTGGTTGGAATGTCAAACTGAACCCTTTATTTCACTCAGTGGGGTAGACTGTTCTAGTTCCACGTACCATGTTTAATGGAGGTCAGTTATCTCCTGTTAATTTCCCTCTGAAAAGTTCTCCACTGCCTTAACCAGGTATTGAACTAACACTCTTTAGGTCCTGTCACTGGATCTAACCAACACCTTTATCCACTGTACCATGTATTGTTGTAATAAATATGGAGGCAAAGATGAGGATAATAGTCCGAATAATGTAAATAATGTACATAATACCTCATCTCAGAAATATAAACAGATGCTTCAAATTATACTACACTTTATATATCAGAATGTGTGAGTTAAAATTTCTAGCGCACATAATAAAGAAAGAGGTCTTGCAAACTTTGATACTCACAGGACAGATGAAAGGCAAGAAAGACAGAGCAAAACAATGCATGACATACCTAGCAAGCTTGAGTTTATGGATGGCAGGACAGGGTTTAGGAAATATCACGAAAGAACAAAAGAGATGTAAAGGACAGGAAATTATCGAGAGCCATGATTATCAACATCCTGAAGGGATATGACATATAAGAGAAGAATGAAAAGGGAAATAACTTTTCCTATTTTACAACCTAAGAGTGGACTAGGTAAATATGTAAAGTTGATTCACTGTGTCGTGCTTGACAATTTTTCTTTCCAGAATTTATCTTACATATTTATAATTCTACTGTACATTCATGCTTTGAATATTGCTGTCTCATAGGGTTCAATGCTCCTGCTGTATATTTAGAGATTCTTGATAAAATTCAAAGAAGAATCAGCAATATTACCTGATGTCTCAGCTTTGGTCACTTTCCTATCACCGTAATGTAGCTTCTCTGTGCCTTTTCTATAAATACTTTCATGGTAATTCTTTTATTGAATTCTTCACTATGGTACCTAGACTTTATGAATCTAGGTGCAGTACTAGATTGGTAGCAAGATTTCATCAATTCACAGTTGATTTAGTGAGATGTAACTGTAAGTTGTATGTGAACAGTTTATTTTCTCGCACTTCTTGCTTGTGGAACTATCTTCCAGCTCCATGCTTTCCAGCCAACTTTGATCTTCAAAAGTTTAATTGAAATGTCAATCATTATCTAATCTCTCCTTGATTACTCTTCTATAGATCTCACTCCTTAATAATGTTTGTCTTTTTTCTTATTTTTTTACACTCAGTAACCCCTTTTGTCTTAGTGGCTTTATTGTCTTGCATGGGGTGAAATGATGTAAAAAGAAAAATAAATAAAAAAATTAAAAATAAAAAAAAACGAAGAAATTATTAAAAAAAAAAAGATATAAAAGAAATACACTTAACCTCAGAATTTCTGTTAAAATTGATGTCTATAATTTAAAGACAAAAAAAGAATCTGCAATGTTATTGTTCTTGACCTGGCATCTCGCCTTCAGTCACTTCCCCACCAGTGTAGTGTAGCTTCCCTATACCATTTCTAGCGCTTTCTCGGACTAAAATTTCCCACTGACAGGAAGTGGAAAAATTATATTGAATCAAATGCTAGGTCTCTAGGAATGTTGATTCACTCTTTCATACTAAACAATTCTTACATTTTCATAAGGCTATCATTCATCCTTTCTTTAAATATTTCTGCTGGATCTGGTCTGGTGCACCTGCTACATATTCAGAGATTATTGATAAAATTCAAAGAACAGTCTGCAATGTTACTTGTCCTGCCCTGGCATCTCGACTTTAATAACTTTCTCAGCATTAGCCACTTTTGTAGAATACCTGTGCCTTTTCTAGGAATAATTTTATGGTAATTGTTTGGATGAACTTGGCTTGCTAGACTTTATGAATTTAAGTTCAGTTCTATATTGGCTGCAAGTTCTCACCGATTCATACTTGAATTGGCTAAGTTTTATGCTAACAGATTCTTCTTTCACACTTCTCCCTTGTGGAACTTACTTCCAACTTTTTTTTCCAGTCAATTGTTATATTTTACCTTCTTAATTTGTGTTCTTTTATTGCTCTCTGTCTCTTTAATAATCTTTTATTTTTCTCATATTCTTTCACACTCAGTAATCCCTTGCACTTTGTGGCTTTATTGGTTCACTTTGAGTAAAATGATATATCTCTATCTATAAAAGGCAGGATGTGTGTGTGTGTGTGTGTGTGTGTAATGAATGCATGGCCACAATTTTTGACGGATTTGTAACCAAAATTTACATGCACATGCTCCAAGTTAGTGGGAAGGCCAAGACTGACTTTGACTTAGTGGAAATAATTGATTTTTTCATGCTTCTACGGCAGTTTTCATGTAGTTTGCGGCCATTTTCTACTGGCCAGAGTGAGAGCCTATAGCTGGCTGCCACGAATACGCAGGTAGATTCTACTGGCCAGCATGAGAGCCAACAGCTGACTGACACGAATGTTGACTAGCATCCTAGCATCCAATCGATAGCTTCATTTGTCACAAGTGGGAAAAATTTAAATCTGCATGGCACTTTACTCCACTTGGCTCATTCTCTTGCTTAAACTCAATGTTGATTCTGATTCTGCAGAACTGGGTTGGGTGTGAAAAAGTATTTGTTGTCAACATTCTTTTTCATTCAGTTTTTCCAGTTACGAGTCCTTTTTTTTATAGCTGATTGTTTTTTGTTCATTTTGTTTAGTTCTTTTTTCATAACAGATTTAATGTTTAGTATAGAGCTTAGAAAAAATTTGCAGTGTGAGATAGGCAAGAAGTAAGGCATGTAGAAACATCAGCACGGAAAAGGGCACTCCTTTAAAGGCAAGGAAGGGCAAAAATATTTTAAATCAAGTGATAGCGATTGCTGTATTAGTCATACGATTTTTGCATCAAGCATGGACAACGCTGGGCCATGCTGCTAGTATATATATACATATATATGAATTATTCACACAAAACTAATTCAAAGGTTAATGATTTAAATGGCGAGACATCCATCATTGCAAACAATTCAAATAGTACACAAAAACCTCCAGATCCGTTATGAATGAATTGATCCTTGTTTATATAAATTTCTGCCGTATTAGTTGTTATTTTTACTACAAGCTTTCGTCTGTTCCTACAGACATCTTCAGGTATATAATAGATGTTGTTCTTGTTTTTTTTCTCTTAGTAATAAGAGGACATCGAAAATATATGTGTTATTGTATCCGAAATGCTATTGAAAATGAGTTATTGGTTTTTGAACGCGCCAAAGCAACGCTGAGTTTTGATTTTAAATTTTTAAAATGTTTGCGTTTATACCAAATATGGTGTTGAACAAATTTTTATATATATACCTTTATGCATGTTTCATTAAAAATGACAGACAAGGCACTATGATTAAGCTTTTTATTTAATTTTCCTGGTGTTCGAACAAGTGTTTTCTTTTTTGGACAGAGTGTATAAATGTTCTATAATTTCTCTTAGAAATATTATAAAGAAATACACTACCTCAATTGACCCTAGTAAAAAAATCAAATTAATTATCTATTATAAAAAATTTAAAATAGTTAATCTTATCCTCAAAGATAACAACATAGCAGCAAAGTCAAAATTACAAAGAATGAATATTATCTATGAATTCAAATGCCCCTTAAAGAACAGTGTTTCTGATCAAGCTGAATTCATAAATAATTACATCAGTCATGCAAATATATGCCTATCCAGATGCCTTACGTTGTACCTATCTGACCAAAGCTGTATTAGAACCCATTTAAACACACACAAACTTACCAGACTCCATTGGAAACATACTAGTAGAAAATACAAACATAATAACCTCATCCACATGTAAAAAAAGATTAAAAATAATGGAAGCCTTAATAATAAAAAAGAAAAATCCAACACTTAATAATGTTAACTATGAACACGGCCACAGAAAATAAAACATTTCTATAAGACTAAAAACATACACACAAGGCACACACTCAATTAAACTGAAAAAAAAAATCATCCCTGATAATGGCTAAAAGGATAGCCGAAAACACTTGGAATTATAAAACATTTGGACAGTTTCTACACATTCAAAAAAAGTAAACACTTGTTTAAACACAATAAAAATTAAATAAAAAGCTTAATCATAGTACCTCTTCTGTCATTTTTAATGAAACATGCATAAATGAAGGATTTCTGCTTAAATATACAATTATATATATATATATATATATATATATATATATATATATATATATATATATTTTTATGAAAAGCTAGGTAATCCATATGGGTAAAACCTAAGCAGGATAAAATCCAGAAAATATATATATATATATAAAATCCAGAAAAAATATGTATATATATAAAAAAAATATGTATATATATATAAAATCCAGAAAACATATAAATATATATATAAAATATATATATATAAAATATATATATAAAATATATATAAAATATATATATATATATATATATATGTATATAAATATATAAAATATATATATAAAATAAATATATATAAAAAATATATATATATAAAAATATAAAATATATATATATAGATATAAAATATATATATATAATATATATATATATAACGGATAACAATGTATAATTTTTATATATCAAAAACAGAAAAGATATAT